AAAAAGCCAGGAAACTGTATCTCCTTCATTCTTTTCCTTCATACAACAACATGATCCGTGGGGAAGAAAGTGGCCGTGGAAAAATCTTTCCCGGTCGGCGCAAGGTGCAACACAATGAGCGCGACAATGGGCGTTTAACAAAAGAGCGCACAACCTTCAAGTTACATGTATACCTGCATGTCAGAACACTACGTATCAAGCCGGCCATGTTGCATCCTGTGTATACTAAAGATACCCACTCAGAATAACAAATCGCGGCAACGGCGAAGCTTAAAATCGTCCCGCTTTAACGTTTCACTTTTATTAATCCGTTCCAACCAAAATCGATTGTAAATCTTTGCACAAATTTGATACGCAAAATTGTTACAAGACGAGGAATACAGAGGGAACGAATTATATTTATTATTTTTGCAATATATAATGCGCATTGCAGCGAAGCTTCCTTCGAAAGCTCCGAGAGCTGATTAAGGGAGGGTGAAAGTAGGTTACTCGAGCAATCTGCACCATATCGCGGCATTAAAATTAATTAAGCTCGGTTATTGAAGGCAAGATTGGTGCCCATTACACACGACTTTACCCACGGTTTAGCGAATGACAGTGGGATACGATACGGTGATTCGTTCTCTCTCTCTCTTCTCGATGAGAGAGATAGTAATTCGCGTGTATGCATGTATATCACGCGCATACACACATACACACGTTAGAAAATGCGCTGGATCATCCTACACGCTAATGCACAAAACGCTACATTTCCGGCAGGTATACATAGGGTGTCCCGACATCGTCAATCGTATCGGAGCCACAGATTAGCCGATTTATAATCTATTTCTCTTGAATGACATTTTAACGAGACACATTCTAATTTTTATTCATTGCATTAAACATTTTAATGATATTTGAAGCCCTAATTGAAATATTATTAAGAGAAAATTAATGCTAAATAAATAGAAATAAAATATCAGTTGTACGATAATTTGTAGCGCATAAAATGTTATCGCTGTTCGAATGAAAATAAAAGCTTGAACGCTTGCGTATGTAATGCAGATAAATAAAAATGACTGAAATTAATTTCACGAGGATCTTCTCGTCGGTGTTGCAAAAATTGGCGCGGTGCAATTCGAGAAGCTTTGAACCCGGCGTGGTCGCGGAGTCGTTAAAGGCCCCCCTTCTTCCCTCCACACACTCATACGGCCGTACACGAACGCGAATATAGGGTACGTTATTCGGGCGAACGTCCGCACGGCTTGTTTCCCAGGTGTGATCATTAACTCTGCTCGGCGGCGAGAAAATCGTCCGGAATCATCATGGGACGCCCAGATACATATGTATATCGACCGCAGGAGAATCGAAACAAGAAGAGAAGGAGGCCTGGGCCACCGCCTCCGCCGCCTCCGCGAAGGGCAAGGCGGAATGACGCGGAATTGAGCGGAAGTCGCTCGCGGCCTTCGCCGCACCAACTTCTCATTTCGCACGCTCGATACTCGGTGACCAATATACAGAGCAAAACTCTGAAATGATGACACCCACGAGTTTGAATTTAACATGGAGACAATACGTCTGCGAGAAATGGAAAGTAAATTGCAATTATTTTTTCCTTTTTGCACAGTTGCGGCCTGATTAATGGAAAAAATAAAAATGTAACATAGCTCACGGCGAAAATTTGTGTAAAACACATTTTCTGCACCGACAATCAAGAACGGTTAAATCAAAATTAACCTCTTTTTTTTTAAGTATTGAATCAAATTTGTGGTCAAATGATAGAGTTATATAATTTAGAGAATAAAGAAATTAGAACGACATTAATTAAAGAGTTTATCTCTCGCTTAATACCAGTTTAATTTCAACTAGATGCAAGGGATGTCATTCGAGATTTTATTTTGTCGAAATGTTTAAAATTATATGTAGAAAAATGTTACAGCTAGAAGCTTCGCGTAAAATTTTTCGTGCGAGTTCATCGGAGAAACTGTCATCATCGGGACACCCCATGTATCGGAAATGCAGGATTATCGAGGATGAAGTCATCGCGCATTTTCTGCGAAAAAGCCGTTTGATCCGTATCTCACGTTTTCGATACTACGGGCGTGTTGCTGCATGACGAATTCGGAGTTGTGAATCAGAGCCATAAGTACCGACTCGCGTCCATCATACCGTCGATTTTATTGTTATTAACATTGTCTAACAAGCGCTTTGTGCTGTCAAAGGCCGACGCAGAATTAAATCCGGCGTGCACTTGCATCTCAATGCATAATAACAAAGGTATTCTTTTTATTCTTTTCAAATCGATATAATTATGTAACGTATAATATTAAATGTATCATTATATGTTAATACTGTATCTGATTCGTGTATAATTATATAAGACAAATGTCAAGATTACAAGGTGAAACTTTTAATTGCATGCAATATCATTACGTTAGTTTTCAAACAAAGTGCACTAGAATTTTTTTCGTTGACAATGTGTTCAGCAATGACATGTAATGTACCGAACGTGATGTAATTATGAATACATGCTAATTACGGAATAATAGACAAGGCGTGCAGAATCTGCGCAGCGCCAATATTATATGCTATTAGACATTAATATTGATTTATTGCCCAAAGTGTTAAATTTCAAAATAATATCAAAATACATTTTGACTCTATTTTCAATTAAATGATAAAGTAGAATCGATATGTATTTGTGTAACATATTGAGACATAGAAATTTGATTAAAATAATAGCGCATACGTACGTTTTTTAAACTCATCTTCTCTCCAAATAGTTCTTTGCGAATATTAGATGTATCTTTCGCAATGCACCGTATCTTGGGTGCGGTATAATCTGTTTTGCATTCTACATAACATATGCTAAACTAATTAAAATTTTTGACAGCAGTTCCGGTTATTCCCTCATTAACGTTAATGTAATTCGCTTGTTTCTTTGTGAGGTGAGCCTCATCGAATTGAAATTAGTTTTAATTTTATATTAAGTTTACGAACATTTATCCAAAAAAACTTATAAAAAGTCGTCGTCGGACACTTTTGCATTTTAGATTTTTCCGCAGAGATCAACTCGGCGGTAGAAGTGCGCGCCGTGTTGAACGTGCTGAGCTCATAAAGATTGCACTTAAATTCGCTGCTTTCTAGAGCGACTCGGTCGAATAACATTGCCGCCGCGATATCTTCAACCTTCGCATTTTTCAAGCGTCATGCAACCTTCGCGCCCGGCACCGTTGCATTACGCATCAACGCAATCTGATACGACTGAGCAGAAAAATGAAGCTGAACGCCGAGATTGCGCTTTCGAACGTGCACATTTCAGCAAGTTTTTCCGCAAAGAAACGCAACTTAAATTGGCGAATTATCGGACAGCTGTTCTCTTCGTCGTATTATCGTTAATCTTAATTGACATTTACACGACCCGTGGCGTGGAAACAAGTCGGAAATGCCACGTTATGAGGGCTTCAGGGTTGAAAGCGGCCTGAAACGCGTCATTACCATGACAATAGTTCCTTCGCATCGAACCGTAGAACTTGAGCGTCTTACCGCACCCGAGATACGCTGTATTGCGAAAAATATGCCTAATATTCGCGGGAATTTGGTGAGAAAACGAGTTAGAAATACGCCTCGCGTCGCGCCGCACGACAGCGAGGGCTCTCGGGGTTGAAAGACGCGCAGCAGCAGCAGATGTACGTAAGATGTGACGGGGCCCGACATACAACACATGCACACGGCAAAGGAGAGGCAGGGGGAACGACGGCGAGTGAACGGACGAACGGACGTAAACGCAGGACTCGCCGTCGTCGCCGCCTGCGAAAGGCAGGGCTCGCGGGTTCATCATGCAAATGAAATACACTAATAAAATGAGATATATTTCATATTTTACAGAAATTGCGCAATTATACGGAACGTCTCGCAGATATTTCTTTTTAATGACTAATTTAACGACTAATTTAATGACTAATTCTCTGATTAATTTGCAGTCAACTTCTCTTCCGTAAAAATGTCAAGAAACGCGCATTTGTCGCGCCTTTCTGATTTTCAACATTACATATCGTTTAAATTAAGTTTCAGATTGAAATTGTAAAAGGAAGTCCACTTGAAATCAACCGAAGGATATAGTTCTGTTATTTATTTGTATACTTTCTTTCTCAATCATTAATAACTCGAAAACTATCGATGCTTTGCCGGGAAAAAATCGAATTGATCAGAACTGATCAGAAAATTTGTTATTGGAAGGACATCCATAAGAGTTTCTCTACACCCTGCATATGTCATTAAAAGAATGTTTGGTATTATTGTCGCGATGTATTCAGACATGTATGCCGGATTTAATTCCGCGTTGGCCGCAGCCTTCGACGATACAGAGACGCTCGTGAAAAACACCACCGGAGCAAACAACGCTCGCACGAAAGCGTCCTTCGCGAAGAAGCGGATGTGCATCGCGGGAGTGAAAAAAAGGACGCTCTCCTCTCGTCGTTCCGTGCAGTCGAAATCCGCGCTGTCAAAAATCGTTACGGTCGCTGCCCTCCGCCGAGGCCAGGCAAACAGATCCTGTCCCCTTCGACGTGAAGTTGGGATTTAAAGAACCGTCGAATTAAAGGAACGGCCCGCGCCCGCCCTCGACTGACATGATCGATATCGTCGCGCGATCCTCCTTGTCCGAATCCGTGTTATCGCGATGTATATTCAAACGATCAAAAGAATAGTTGCGCGCGATACTTTGAAGCAAAACGTCGGCGAAGTGCACTCGAAAGCACTCGAAAGAGCGACGGCGACGACGAATTGCCCGATATATTGACCGTTGTCTCCGTTCTCGGTGTTCTCAGCGGAGAAACAAGGCGCGACCGGGGATCGCTGCGAAATTCATGAAATCGGGAAAAGAGACGGGAAAAGAGAAAAATCCAACCGGAAAGTTGCTCGATCGTGATCGTTCTCGGTCCATCGACTCCACTCTGTGTGGGATGCAGTTTCTGTCTTTCTCTTTTGCCTTCTCTCTCGATTGTATATGTATTACTCACTTCATGTTTGCTTGGCCGGTGAGCGTGTGCTATGCCCTCATGCAAGCCGTCGTCGTGTTTCTGCTCCTGCACAGTATGTCACCGAGCCCATGAAAACACGCGAGATTAGGACAGGACTTGCGGTAGTTCGACATATAAATAACGAGATGAACGCAAAGTCCAGCGCGCGCGCGGCACTAACACCACCGTGACACCCTGCCGCTGCACATCTGGCCGGCCATATTGCCGACTCCGAATTCCTACTCCCTACCACCCGCTCGCCGTGGGGTCCGTCACGGAGTTGCTGCAACGCAAGATAACGGAGTCGCTGCAGTTGACAGCTCTCAGCGATGCAGTCGCCATGCCTGCCAACAGAGAAAATCCGCGACTCTCTAGAAAATTTTGTCTTCTTCTTTCTTGTTAATTTCCATAATAGAAAATTTTCTTATTATTTTTACAGTATAATTGTTTGATTAATTAGACGTAAATTTATGATTGATCAATTGTCTTAAGCAATTATATAAGTCCGTGTGAATGCACCTTAAATACCAACATTAACTTCAGCAAGTTCCTGCATTACCGACGCAATTGCAGGTTTAACCGCGCAGTTTGCCCGTTAGTCGCATCGGGGCGGTAGTATCGCGCGTTTGCGAATTGTGCGGTAGTGTCGTGAGAAACGCGATGCGCGAATCTTGATGTATGTCGTGCGAGACGCACGCGATTTCTACCTGGCGTGAGATACCGGGTGAAACCTGTGCGATAAACGCGGCTTCGCGCGCGGCCGGTCCGACTGTCATCGTTGCGACAAGCGACACAACCGGCTACGTACGTCCGTAAACGCTCGAGATCGGCACACGGCGCATCGTAACTGGTACGTTCTCATCGAGAAACGCCATTTTGTGGTGCGCGCTGATCAGGGGGGGACGTAAACATCGAACTTTCCAATTGTATTCGGTTGCGGTGGGACGACGATCTCATCGACGCGTCGCCGTCCGTGCAACCCTTTCGTAAACGGCCGACGTCGCTCCTGCGATCCCGATGTACGTTACGGCACGACATCGCCCCGTGTCGTGCTGACGCGGCGACGTTTCGCGCCAAATCACCCCGTTGGGGACGCACACCTGGCGCACGCAGGAACAGCTGTCGCCGCGTCGCCGATCGCACGATATCGGCGTTTCCCTCGCGATTTCCGGACGCTTATTCGTCCAAAGTCAGGTAACTAGGCGACTGAATTTACGAATGTTCGCAAACTGTTGTATGATTGTGATCATCGCGCCTATTTCGGAGGCGATAAACAGGCTCAATAGTTTTGTCGCGCTCCAATTTCACGCGAGCATTACGTATCTTGTTTACGTGTGACGCGTCATTGACGAGTAATCACGAAATTTTATGACGCTGGACGAACGACGATTTGGTTCTAATTTTCATTTGTTAGAATTTTGAATTTCTAAATGTTTATCTTCGTCGTTCTCATTATTTCTTTTAAAAATACACCAATAACAGAATTGCGCATTTATCTATTTAACTTGTTCAAGGTAATTGAAAACATGCTTGTCGTAAAGCTCGTGATTTATATGTAAAAAAAAAAGATGTCTATCTTTTTAGAAATTATACTTTACTGTAAGAAAGTAGTTTTGACAGTTTATTTTTTTGTGGCAGTTTTTTTTATACATTATATTATTTAGATATAAAATAAATATCTAATGTCATCAACATGTAGCTGATAAATATTCTTTCTTTTTTCAGAGTTGCAGCGTGACAAGATTTAATTGTTAAATGAGACTTGAGTGCTGTGACAAAAATGACAGTATTATCCAGATAAATATTCTTAAAGAGACTTGAAGATGTGCTTTTTGTCATTCTAAAGAGGCTTGATGAGTGAACAAAAATATAAGGAATGGTATTCTATTGGATTCAGCTGGATGTCAGATAAGCTGAAAAATGTCTGGTGATTCAGGATGGAACGCCGTTATTCACCATCCCTCGGATTTAGAATTGCAAAATTGGAATTGGGAAGAAAACGATGGGGAGCAAGAGAAGGAGCTCCCCTCAACCGTTGATATGGATGCCATAAAGGGTGGTGGTAGCTGGGATCCTGCTACTGAACCTAATGGTACTTGAATTAATTCCAAATTTATTAACACAAGTTATAAGTTATAGATATGTTTTATAAACATGAACTGACAAATCTTCTCAATTGTAGGAACAGATTCGGTCGATTCCGAAGAAGATTCTGATTCCGACGACGAAAGCTCTGGTGGTAGTGAAGGCAGTTGCTCTTATTCAGATTCTAATTCAGAGTCAGACGACGAAAGTAGCGGTGACGAGGAAGAGGATAGTGGATCTAATTCGGACTGCTCTTCCGAGCACAGCGAACAAACGTTTTCCATTCAAGAGACTAACTTTGAACAAGTATGTTGACATGTAACATTATATTCCAAGCCTGTGTTATTTTTTTGCTGCGCCGATTTTTATAGAAAGATATTTTGTCGTGCAGGGTGCATTGAAATTGAAAATCACCATGAAAGGTCCGAAAAAGGAGGACACTGAGAAAGTTAAATGCGAAAAAGGCAGAAGGAACATTCCGAAAAAATCAAATAAGACCAACCAAGGAAATAAGGTAATTATCTTATAATTAATCATTGTAAATTGACAGACAAAAATATGTTATGATCAAATTAATAGACAAATATGATAATTGTTAAAAATAATTATTCAAGATAATTGTACTTGAAAATAAAATAAATTTTTATTTTAACTTAATAACTTAATTATTTTAATTTAATTCTTTTTTACAAAAATATATGCTTATTACGCAATAAATCATTACAAATCGATTTAGTCCTCAGAATGTAGTAGCGAAGATTCAGATTCATCTGCGAATCACGTGCAATCGCAGACACAACAGCAATCGTCGCAACAGCATCACGCGCCGTTACAAGAAATCAACCAGGAAGATTTGGCGACGATTTTACCGCCACAGGAGCAAGAAGACGCGCCGTTTGACGGATTCGAGGACTCCGAAAGTGGCCGGCTGGTGTCGAAAGCGATCGAACGCATGTCGCTCGGCGCGGATTCGGACACAAGCGAAAACGGCGATCAGAATCCAGTGCCGGTGTATAGTTCTACTCTGTTGCAGCAATTCGTGGAAAAGACCGCCATGCTGTCGGAACCGCGAAAGAGACGCAGCAAGTGTGGTAAAAAGGTGAACAACGACAACGAGTACCCGTGCGTGTCGAATGTGTCGCCCGATTCTGGCATTCAATCGGTAGACAACAGTCCGCTGCACTTGGCGGTCAGTCCTGTCAGTCCGTCAGCGCCGACACAATCTCCGATCCAACCGCCGATCACCACTAAACCGGCGGTGAACGTCGATCGAGTTTTGTATCCGCCTAAACGGAAACCCGGCAGACCGGCGAAGGCGGTGTCCACGCAACCGCGCGGACCCGGCAGGCCGCGTTTAAAGCCGGAGGTCGAGAAGGTTCAGAAGGTCGAGAAGGTTCAGAAGGTCGAGAAGATTCAGAAGGTCGAGAAGGAGAAAAATGAATCTTCAAAAAATCTAAAGAATCCTGATTCTCGGTCGACAGAGAAGAAAGAGGCTACTAAGGAAACAGCCGCGAAGAAGACGAAAGAGGACGCGTCCGTGATGAGAAAACGAGGTAACGCGAAGTCCGTTGCGCCGAAGGAGGAAAAGGAAGAGGCAGCTCCCGTGAGTAAAAGAGTCAAGGGTAAGCCGGCGACGTATCAGAAGAAGCGTTTCGGCAGTCTGTCGAAGCTCGTCCTTCCACAGGACAACGTCCATCCAAAAACGAGGAAAAGTACGGGATCGACGAGCTCGCCGATGCGAGTAAAGTGCCTAAGCAGATCCGCGAGCAAGCTCGTGTCGCAGTGCGACGGTAGGAGTTGCAGGAAAGTCAGGCAGGAGAGAACATGCACGCAATCCAACAAGGCGTCGGTGCCGTTGACACGACAAAAGCAAACGTCGTGCGAGCATCAGGTCGCCAACGACCCGAAGGTGTCGAGCACCGGTAAAAGAACCGGCTCGAAGGAAAACAGGAGCAACGCGACGGTCGTCGCGTCCCGAAAGCAGAATCTGGCGAAGAAGACTGCGCCACCAGCCACGACGAGGCGTGTGTTGAAGGAGAACAAATGCAACAAGAAGACGACTGCGGCGAACTTCGAGAGTAACGGCGTGGGTGTGCAAACGTTAATATCGTTGCCGGTCGGTCATATATTGAAGGCGGAAAACGCGGAGCGCGCGTCCGGCAATAGCAAGTGCGACAAGGCGATGCAGCCGACGCAGCACAATCATTGCCACAAGACCCATCATCACCATCATCATCACCACCATCATCACAAGCATCGTCGGAGACTGGTCGCACCACCGAAGAATCCGATCTTCATCGATCCGAGCATTATCCAGGAACTGGAGAAACTGATCGAGGAATTCAAGAGGTCTTGCAGTCTCGGCAGGAACAACGCCGGCGCTAATCACTCCGAATTGCCGCAGATCTTCCGCGTGAAGAAGCTGACGAAGAAGAGAAAAGGTGAGGCCAGCGTGAACGATGATCAGAAGTTGAAGCGGCGCTTGAAGAAGGAAAAGGTGCTGGCGGGCGCCGATTCCAAGAGCAGCGCGAACACCAGCACGAGTTCGAATCCGAACGAGCAGCGGCTGCCTCTGAAGAAGCGCCACTATCACGTGTCGAGTCCGCACAGCTCACAGAGTTCGAACGCGAGTTGTGCGGACGCGAACGCGAACGAGTCCAACTCTACGGAGAGCCATATAGAGGAGGCGATCGAAGCGACTATCACGAGATACGGTGGCGGCGGCGGCGGCGGCGGCAGCTCGACATCCTCCGTACACGAAGACGCCGTGCCGGTGAAGAAGCCGCGAGACGCCGAGAACGCGGCGCCTGAGAAGCCGGCCAGCGACGAGGACAAGTCCGTCGTTCAATCTGAGGTTCAACCGCGCCGGAAGAAGAAAATTATCAAGGATCTCCGCGTCACTGTCACGAAATTGCTGTCTGAGAATCACGGTGTTCTCGACAAGAGCGACAAGTCGGACAAGTCCGCGGAGAAAGGTTCGAAAACTACGGAGAAATCTGGCAAGTCGGAAAAGGCGGTGGTGGAGAAGCCGACTAAGGCCGACAAAGCGCAATTAGAGGAAAAGGCGAACGTCGAGCACGTTCGCACGGAAAAGAATATCAAGGTCGACCTGGAGACAAACGCATCCGAGACATTCGAGGACGGCGAGACCGTTGCCGAGACCAAAGTAGCTCAGATCGGCAACTCGAGCGTGCCGAATCTCATGAACAACACCGCGGCTACGATTCTTACGAAGAAAAAGATGCGAAGGCGGAAGACCATCAATCGCACGGGTTTCCCCACCCTGAAGAAGAAGAAGAAAAAGCTCATCGATTCTCCAGGAGTAACGAAATCAGCGATGCCGGCCGGCACGAATGGAGTATGCAAAACGTGCAAGGATCAGGACGCGCCCGAGGATGCGGAGGACAATAAGGCGTCTTTGACGGAGAACGGCGCTCAGGACACTCCGACGGAGAAAAAGGACGGCGGAGCTCACGCTAAAAGCGACGTGAAGAATCTGGATAATTCTAGCACGATGCAGGAGACGTCTAGTCGAAGCGGCTCCGACGAGGTGGCCGAGTCCAGTCCCACCAGTGGTCAGCTGCGCGTACGCAAGGATCTCGTGGAGTCCGACAGCAGCGTGCTATCCGAGAAGCTCTACCCGAGTCCGATCAAGGATGAGAAACTTCTCGATTGTCGACATTCCACGATCTACGACGAAAACGCGTCGCTCGAGGAGTCGCTCGAGCGTTACAATCAGAGTATGCAGCGTATCGCCGAATTAAACGAAGAGAACCTGAGGAAATTGGAGCGTGCGAGTGCGCAAGCGGCGGCGGGCGTCAAAATGGAGCTGTCCGGCTGTTTCAATAACAATCACAAGCGACGACGCGGTTCGAGCAGTCCCGCTAATCTGTATGTTGGTGGCAGGAGTGCGAAAAGATTGAGAAGTGCGGGCTACGACACAGAAAGCGAGGCGCCGCCGAGCAGCGATGTGGCTAGTGAGGATCAGGAGGTTAGGAAACCTGCTGGTCCGCCTACTTACAATCGAAAGAAACAGTCACGGTGGAAAAAGCGATATTTGCAGACCAGCAATATGTTTTCCGAGTGCAAGAAGAATCTTGAATCCAAGAAGCTCGAGAGAAACGACATTGTTTGTCCAATCGATGAGCATAACACTGCGGAACAATTGTCGAACATCACTGGAAAGTTGCTGCGACAGAAGAAAACACCATTTCAACTGCAGTATGATTTGTTATGGCTGCACGATCAGTCGAAATTGTCCGGTCGGGACTCGGATGTTCCATCATGGAATTACAGGTAAGATGTTATATTTTTTAGAAATTTGTGCTACAATTTTTACAAATTAATATTTTTTATTAAAAATTTATAATATAATAATTACTAAATTTTTTAATATTATATATTATTAGTGTTTACATTGTATAAATATAATTGAGTAATCACTAAATTATTAAATAAAATAAAATTACAAATAATAAACATACGCGATAATGCATTTCTTTGCAGAAAAATTCGAACAAATATTTATTACGACGTTAAGCCGACTACTCTTTACGAAGCACAAGCCTGCGAATGCAAGCCGGAAAGCGGTTGCGGGGATGATTGTATTAATCGCATGGTATTCAGCGAATGTTCACCGCAGCTGTGTCCTTGTGGCGAAAAATGCGAGAATCAAAAGATTCAGAAACACGAGTGGTCACCAGGATTATTGAGGTTCATGACGAAGGATAAGGGATGGGGAGTGAAGACGCAACAAGCGATCAAGTCAGGGGATTTTATTCTCGAATATGTGGGCGAAGTTGTGTCGGAGAGGGAATTTAAATCAAGGATGGCGACTAGGTATGACGATTTGTTTAAACTAGATACCGAAAAACTGTTAGGAAATATCTTAATATTTGATTTGTATGAGAAATAAAAATATTATTACAATAATATTATATACAATTTATGAACTTGTCAAGAATAATTTAATATTGTATTGATTAAAAAAAATTTTTGTATGTACACTAAAAGAAATTGAAAAATATATATCAACATACTAAAAAATCAATAGATATGCCAACGACACGCATCACTATTGCTTGCACCTGGACGGTGGACTGGTGATCGACGGCCATCGCATGGGTGGCGACGGTAGATTCGTCAATCACTCATGCGAGCCCAATTGCGAGATGCAGAAATGGAGTGTGCTTGGTCTACCACGTATGGCTTTATTCGCATCGAGGGACGTTAAACCGGGGGAGGAATTAACGTATGATTATAATTTCGCGCTCTTCAACCCTTCGGAAGGACAGCAGTGTAGGTGTGGTAGTAGCGCTTGCAGAGGTGTCATAGGTAAATCGATGAAAATTTAATCGTCTCGGCGCGCTATGTAGCTTAGATATTTAACTATAAATTCTGCACGGCAGGTGGAAAAAGTCAAAGGGTGACAAAAAGCATTTCATCTCTACCGTTGCAAGTGGGATCCACGGAAAGAAGATCAGTGGGCAGGCCACGGAAAAATATTCGAAAATCAAACACGGTACAATCGGCCAACTCGAAGAGCATCTGCAAATCTCGCAAAGTGGGAGATCCGATTTTAACGCACAACACGCCACAATTGAAACCGATGTCTTACCAGCAGCGATGCTTCGCGCGCGAGCATCATTGCTTCTTGCTGAGGAATCTGGAGAAGGTGCGGCGACTAAAAACTGCATCGGTGCAGCAGGTTCAAGTGCAGAATGGAAAGACGAAGATCGGTAATGCGAGCGCTGCGAAGGAAAAGAGCTCCGGCGATTCGAAGGCGCAGTCTGATGCATTTTTCTCGCAATTAACCGCGCTGACGAACACCAACGCGCGAACCGTGCGAACGCGTAGACTCGCACAGGCACAGGACGATCCGGAGGTACACAAGACTGCAAAATTAGCTAAGGTCGGTGAACAGCTAGCTCATATATTTGCAATAAAAATATTGAAATTGAATTAAACAGTTTTCAGAGAAAATTATTTATTATAAAAATTCATACAATAGCTCAGTTTTCTAATCATTTCCTAACCAAAGGCTTCTTATTTCGAGGAATAAAAAATCTGCCAGACGCATGTTGCAAAACATGATAATTATGTAGAAAAATAAATTATTTGAATTTTTATGATAGATACTTATTTTTCAATAACAATTTTGCAGAAATCTTTGACCAATCTCATATCATTTATGAGAAATATAGATTATAAGATATCATTAGCATGATATTGATTTTTCTTTTGTTTACAGGTACTAAAAGATTTATATACGATCGTTACAACGGCGAATGACGAAAACGGTCAACCGTTGTCCACTCCGTTTATGAATTTGCCACCGAAAAGAAAATTACCTGATTACTATGAAAAAATAATCGAGCCTATCGACTTGAGCACAATAGATCAGTGCATCGGCACTGGTCATTACAAGACGGCGGATCACTTCGATCAAGATATGATAAGACTCTTCGACAACAATGTCAGATACTTCGGCAGGACATCTGAGGTAGGAATCGCCGCGGCAAGACTCCGGAAGTTGTACTTAGGGAGGAAACCTGATTTCGTGGATCCAATAACGGAAGCGACAGGTTCTCCGCCATCCCAGGGCTTCTTGCCACCTCGTGGTTCCACGGCCGGTGAAGAGGATGTGATCAGATGCATTTGCGGGCTGCATAGGTAAATTGTTTGCTCCAAAAAAATTAACACAAAATTCCAATATGCGTCGAGAACTTCATTTTTTCTCTTGCATGTATATTACACAAGTAAATTGTTCTCTTTCTAAACATATTATTGTCGATTATTTGCACAGGGACGAAGGTTTAATGATCCAGTGCGAGCGGTGTCTCGTTTGGCAGCATTGCGACTGTGTTAAAGCGGATACAAGCGCCGACTCTTACTTATGCGAAAGGTGCCAACCACGCGAAGTTGATTTGGAGATTCCATTGGAGGGCGAGGAGGAGGAGGAGGAAGGCAAGAAGCATTATGTAACGCTGTTGCGAGGTGATCTACAACTTCGACAAGGTGATACTGTATACGTTCTGCGGGACACACCTGATAAGCACACGTACAAGACTATACAGAAGCCCGACTACGAGCAGATGGACATTTTTAGAATCGAACGTTTATGGAAAAACAACGAGTAAGTTTTAAATTGATTATTTTAACTATATCCGATTTTAAAAGATTTGTAAGCGTCGGAAAAAATTTAAGGAGCCGAGTTTTCAACTTGTGATCCTTTGTCCCGCAACCTAGCAGTTAGCCTGCCGCTCCATTGCTCTCCTGATTATTCCGACCGTCTACCAAATATCCAAACAAGCCTTACGGCTCTATACGCTTACGCGGATTGGACTATTGATTAAAAAATTCAATAACTTGTTTAACAGGGGTGAGAGGTTCGTATTTGGACACCATTATCTCAGGCCCCACGAAACGTATCACGAGCCAACGCGAAAATTCTATGTGAACGAAGTCGTGTGTGCCCCGCTGTACGAAGCTGTTCCTTGCGATCTTGTGGCCGAGCGATGCTGGGTATTGGATCCTCATACTTTCTGTAAAGGTATACATTATTCTCTTTCGATCGTGTCATTTAATATATATCATCATTTTCTTATCTCTATGGCAAGAAATTAACTTTTTATATATTTTCAAATTCAGGACGTCCAGTCGGCTCGACTCCCGAACATACTTACGTGTGCGAGTATCGCGTCGATCGTGCGGCGCGACTCTTCACGAAAGTCGCCAGATCTAGGCACGCAGTGTGCACCAAACCTTACGCATTCGAAACCTTCCCGCAACGTGCAAAGCATTATCGCACTTACTTGGTAAGAGAGAAACGGTTTTTATGCTGTAATGTGTATTGTGCTAATTAAATATTTTATTTCCAGCCTCATAGTCTGGACGGAATCAAGTTGTCTAAAGAAAAGAAGAAGCACAACAATCAAGAAGCAGATGGAAATCAAAAGTTGGAATCCGGTGATAATGTGAAAGCGCATAGCAAGGAACACAAATACGGTAGCAGGACCAGACGAAGGTCGGGCGAGATTTTGACGATCGCGCCGTCGACAACATCGTACGCTCAGGTAATGAATCGCGCTAAGGAATCGCTGTTGCAATTATTCGTCATTTTGATTCGTATTTTCGATTTATAGAGAGAGGAACAGAGGAAAAAATTGAACAACATTCTGCTGAATCTCTTGCACAAGATGCCGAATAAAAAAGATCCGTTAGATCTATCGTTTCTTCTAGAAAGGAACAGGCGAAACCGGAAAAGACCCGGTGGACTCAACCCGTGACAGTGGGTATCACAACGATAATATAATACTGTGTGTATATAAGCAGGAAATCTAGAGCTAATACTAATTTCAATCTCAGTCAGATTAATAGGTAGGTGGTTAAATCCGATTATTCTAAACATGGTTCTGCTACGTGAATCAAGATAATATTGAACATTATCCCTCCCCTTCTCACCCTCCTCTCTCTCTCTCGCTCTCTCTCTCTCAATGAGAAAAGCGTGGGAGAATTCTCCTCTTTGTACAACCCGTCCATTGGTGTAACTTATATCGATATCGTATAGTCGGGAATAACATTTGTCTGAGCTAAACAATTATCGATCAATGCTTCCCTTTTGTAAACAATTTTTCTTTTTAATACATTGCTATATTTTACTCCATGAGAAAATTACCTCGATTTTCGGTCGTCAGATTCTCTCTGTACCGGATAGTAAATAAACGATAACGTAGCGTGATGAATAGTGATATCGTTGCATCAAAGCAAATAATATTATTGAAAAAATGCTTCTCCGCTAGTATGTGTGCACGTTATGAAATACCGCGTTTAAAAATGGCTCCTATTTCTTCCTATTTTTACCACTTTTCAGATGCGCAAATTAATATCATTCTCCTATAAAATTTATAGATCTTAACGTGTATTGTTTAGTTTGCTCCCGACTTTTCAATTAGACTATACAATACAAAATGCTATTAAGAAATTTCTCATGTTGGAATGTATCTATAAAAAGAATAAACTTACCTAAGAATCCACAGGAAGTATTTAGTACGATAACACAGGATTCTCCTAAGACTCTTTAATTCTGGCAAAACCGTTATATACTCTCGAGAAGACGATTTAAAGGGAAATGGAAAAAATTAGAACATTAAATGAGTCGTTTTTTTTTTATAAATATATTCCGGGAATTTTTGGAATAGCACCTTGTGACATTAGGAATTATATCGTAAACAATGTCTGTAGATACTTCAGATTAAGTAGACGCTCGTTTTATTATAGGATATTTAAGAGAGGAAGGCTAAGAACATACAGTTGTTTCTCTCCCCCGAAAGTTGGGCTTATCGCAACTAATATTAATGTAATCGCGAGTCACACACAAACTTGTATAGAAAATCGTTTGTACATTTTTTCATAGTTGCGTAGCTGAATGTACAAATTACACGTTACGTGGAGTAAGGATTATCGAAAGAGTAGAGACACGTTATACCAGTGCGAATGTGTGCGGAACCGGCTGGAGAATAACAAGAAATATGTGAATACGAGCATGCATGTATTATGTACGCGTGATGGCGCTTTATTGCACAGAAGTAATATTATATTTTTCATAATCCCAATGTTATTTGAATCCAGTGTAACATACTTTCTTCACTTTACAAAAGTCTTTACTAATGTATTTAATTTACTCATTATATATATATATATATAATATATATATGTGTGTGTGTGTGTATGTATATATATATATAAAATTCTGTAGCTATATGTTCCAGAAAAGCCTACTGGTCTTCAAATTCAGAAAAATATCTCCCAAATTGGTCTTCTTCTCAGCAATAAAAATTCTTAAACACTATACGATTCATCATACTGTTGCAAGGTTCTATTAAAACTTATAGCTATAAAACTATAAGTTTTATATTTTATTATTTGTTTGCTTAAGTAATAAATTGCTGTTTTTCTATACACCATAGAATCTTGCAATAATACTCTGATGAATTGTATAGTGTTTTTATTGCTGAGAAGAAGCGTACCGATTTGGAAGATATTTTTCTGAATTTGAGGGGTTTTCCTGGAACATACAAGTAAAGAACCAGAATGCCTAGATATACACACATACACATATATATATAAAAATATATTGATATGGAATTATTATATAGTCAAACGCGACCGGATGGGTCTTGTAGTGATTCCACGATTGTACATATGTACTCAGGACTCCATATTTATTATTGCATTACACAGTATGGTAGATACATTATTACAAGAACGTTTGGTATACATGAATCTTACTTTTTTTTGTTTTCTCTCTCTCTCTCTCTCTCTCTCTCTCACATATACTAGATTATTCCATATATGTTAGATTTACTTTTACGGAAACTTTTGATATTACATTTAACGTAAGACGAAAGTATTTAAAGTGTGTTTAATTAAAGATAATATTATATTAATGTACCGTGTATGTATAATGTTAACACAAGAGATATTTATATTTATTTAATTAGAATCATTATTTTTGAGCGCTCGCCTTTTTTTTCACTCGGTGTATCAGCAGTGAGTAAATCGCCGAAATATTTATTATATTGTGTAATTCAAAAATAAAAGAAAGGAGACGCGAAGCTGGCCTTCTACGTAAGTAGTGTATCATAAAGGGGACACACGGTTTGTGCGAGTTGTTTTCGAAACGAATTTAAGGATACTAATATTGATCTGTATTGGTTTCAACGAGCGAATTGTATAAAAGGACGTCGAACGTCATCGCCACGTATTTTCCATGACATATATAAATATATATATACTAGTTGCATCTCTCCCACTCGATTATCTTTACGCGATTTTTGTCCGTTAAGAGTATGCAAAAAAAAATGCAACATATATTTATATCATATTGATATCAAAGACAATATATTGGCAATCATTGACTATCGCTTTATTCTAAAATATATAATTATAATATTCTAATTATAAATTATAAATTATATTATTCTAAAATATATATATATATTTATGGTCATATATTTTTTGTGAGATATTTTTAGCGATTCGGAAATGTTTTGCTGATTATATATTTCTATTTGCTTTTCTACCTACTCATGATGCATTCTGCTATACACACGATGTTTCTAGGCATGACCTTTCATCCGTAGATGAGCCATTCTTTCTCAGTTATGTAACAATGTCGTTAACAAATATAACTACAGGTGTAATAATTCGATCTTCATTCGAATATCTTAAAACCACATGCTGTACAATGAATAAATTATACGATTGAATACGTTCCGTACAATATTGTGCATTGTACGTTACTTTTAAAAGGGATGCCATGCAATTTTTGTAATTGTACGAATGAAAATGCATATCATGTATGATTTTTTAAATTAATTCATGTTATTGGTAAGGTTTGATGAGACCGATTGGGAGTCTAATGTTATATAAACGGATCCTTGCGTACTTTTATACCAAAAAATCGGCAAGATCCAATTATTTTTTCACGTGTGAAATATCTTTCGTCTTACGTTCATCAAATTATTTTAATCACGAAAGCGCGGCTTTATATGTGTCACAGCGACTTTGTTTCGCACATCATTATTAATCGTTGTTTGAATTGTCACGCATATTTGAATGCGGCACTCGGTGCATTAGCGGTATTTTTCAGCTCATCAATCATTCGCGTAACAGTAGCTGTGTAATAACTTGCCTTTTGAGTTTTGCTTATACATAATTAACACTATTATATATAACACATTTGTAGATGTAATCAAAAGAAGAAATCACAAGAAGAAAGAAAAAGAGAAGATTGTTGCGACGACAGTTTTCGACTACTTATGTAGTGCATGTACAGACCATTGTATTGTATTCTGGTGAGAACACAAATACACGTGAAAAAGTTTCCTTACAATATCTCTCTGCTACACCGTATTTTTGCTCATCAAGTTGTCATACGCATTCTCTTTGAAACACCGCTCTTGTAAACCTAATAATTTCGTATCTACATGTTACACACAAGCAGTAAAGTCACACCTATGGATGTAAAATACAGGTGAAAGCCGAAATAAATAGAAGAACTTTTTATTTTTATGAATAAGTTTGTACATTTTTGTGTCAACAATTAAGTTTACAGATTATATGCTAATCTTGGTTTTCCGTTGTATAGAAAAAAATTACTATATATGCGTGATTACACAATGCAGTCCACGAACATAGTGGCTCTATTTTTCATCTTTCGCTTATGGTAACACAGAGGTACTAGCATATGTTACGTGTGTTGGTTAAATAGAGCTTCTAATATTCCTTAAAAAATAACTCCACCCTCCTCTCGCCTACCCACTCTCTTCTCTCTCTTCCTCTATATTCTAATTATCTTTTAATTATATCTAACTTTGCGTATAGTTATTCAGTTATTAAATTATTTTCGATTTCACACAGAAATACTTCAGCTCGGAACATCACACACTGTACAATATGTACGGAGAACAAAAGAGCGAGCTAATGAGACATTCATTTTCTTCGAACGTAAAAATAAGGGATCGTTTATGAATAATTAAAATCGTGAGAAAAGAAATCATCCGCTTATTATTCATAATTCTTTCAAAGATTTCGACTGACGTAATTTAAAAAGCGTTGCGGATGTTTGACACAAGTCGCACTTATCGTCACTAAATCGTACAATCATTAATTTATATAATAGATTGTGAATTCGCATATGAATATGAGCGACCGATTCGCGCAATTATATTTTCAGTTAACAACGATGTTAACAAACATCGTATTTATATATATATATAAATGGTATTTATATATAAAAATATATCATCGACGTACAAGGTGCAGCTGATAGAAACGAACAAAGTTCCGTGAAGATAGACATCGTGAGGTATTCGCACTTTGTTACATATTTTCTCAAGAGGATGTAAGTAAATCGAGTTATCCTAGCAGAGGAAGTACGTAGGGTAACAAATGCATCATGAATCGAGCATCGCGTGAAACAGAATGTGCAAAATTAAACATGTAGAAAATGCCATTCTCGGTGTCGAAAAGAATCATAATCAGCAGAACCATATTTATACATGCGAACAATATAATGATAATAGAGAAAGAGTGTACACTTTATATAACTCGAAGATAAAAAATACATCTAGAATTATTCAGAATAAATAAAGCTATTTGTCGGAGCAAGACTTTGTTCGTATCGAGTCGTGCAATGAAAAATTTGCGTGTATAAAAAACGTGTGTCCAAGAATAATTTATTTGCACCATAATATTTGCCTCCTTTATACATCATTGGTAGTGTAGGGAGAGATAAAGATAGGTAAACAATATACAATATATGTCTACCTTTACATATTTTTCTTCTTTCTAAAAGGGCACCGCTAGAGGTTTCGCTATTAAAGCCTGTATCCGACTATGCAATTTGTTGCAGCAATTCGATTGCCGCAATTTTTTCATTATCATACTGTACAATTTATAGGAGCAATTTGATTGCAGTAATTGCACAAGATTTTTTAGATCCACTTCTAATTCTAGCAACTGGTTGCATGCAATTGTAGTAATATTTTTGTTTTTATATATTTGCTTTAAAGAGACAACAGTATTTCATATGTCGTGCCAACATAATCGTAATATTTTATTCTGTAGTTGACAATAGTTTAGTTTACATCTAAAACTTTGTTAGAAATGTTACTTGCTAGTTGCACGGTAAGTCACAGTTGCTGCAACTAATAAGTTGAGGCAATTAAGTCGCTGCGTTGCAGTCTGATAGAATATGCATAGAAAAATTGCATAGTCTGATGCTGGCTTAACAAATTCGGTTAGATGCTTGGTGCATCTGCGCATTGGCGCAGATTGTCTGTTGTACATTGATCTATGCAAAAATATGAGTGATTGAGATAAAATGCTCAACATATATGTAGTGTACCAAACAGTATAGTTTATCCTAATTATCTAGCGGTTCAAATCGCTTTATATGCTGTGCATATAATGTGCTATGCGTTAATCTATGTACACAGGCGATCAGGAATATTTTCTTATACGTACTTGCCTCAATTTTAGATAATTTAGTCGTATTTAGATATTTATACATCACAGGCCTAATTTATACCGACACAAATTTAATGCATATGCACGAAACTAGATTATAATAAACAAATAACAAAAAGTTCCAAAAGATTTTTATCAATTGATTTATTATATGAGCTGTTATTTATTTTTTTATTCTTCTATATTTCCTTTTGTTACTCTCACAATTATCTCTCTCACAATTATCAAATACTTCAAGATGTCGAATTTTCAAACACAACTCTGAAACATGATGTATGAATAGCTAGACACGGCACACTAGTATGCGCATCCAACCAAATTCGTTATGTATTTCTATTCGGTGTATAAATAGATTGATATTTGTATGCCATAATTTTTTCTTTTTTACTTTCAATCTGTACATATTTACAAAGTGCTTTTAAAGGGTATAATTACTATCTCTTTCTTTTTTTCTTTCGACTCTTAATGCTACTTGCATGGTTTGTACCCATACGTAGTACTCTTCCTCTTTTCCGTTTCTCCTCTCCTTTGAATGATTTTGAAAGGTGCGATAAAAAGTTATATATTCATTCTTTCCCGCGAATGTTACATTATCGTTAATGCACTTAGATTATTAGACCTGTGTGTCCGGTAAGAATCTTCGGAACTCGCTGGTATCGGTTCTTTCATCTCTAGTGCGCAAAAAAATTACCGTTGCAAGCATCTCTTACGTAAGAGACTTCTTATGCATGAGAAATGAAAGAATCGTGCTGCAGCTGTGAAGGCGCAATAACCGCTGTTACACGTGGTATAATATTCTATATGAGAATTATATGTTGCAAGAAACTCGTAATTCATGCACAAATTGTACGCAATATATATATATATATTCATATATCAGTATACATACTTATATATGAATATTTAAATTTGACAAAGTCCTGTTCGTACTAAAGTGGTTAACTTTCTCGCAACAAAACAAGTCTCGCATAAAATACGTTAAATATACTTTTCTTACTCATATGAATGAGTTGCGTGATGATTGCTGCCACGGTACTTTGAGGTGGATACAGTTCGTCCTCGCATGAAACTCAATTATCCTTGTGAATAATTATATCCTGCTCCCGCATTGGCAGAGGTTGTTGCAACCTTATCGCTTGTGATCTCCTGAAAACATATGTGTGTGCAAAATTTCTGTGCAATTGCACGATCACGATTTGACAAGGCAGGGCATTCATCAAAAAACTGCGACTTTCGATTTACAAAAATAACGTTTTACATGTCTATACCTCACATTCCGTTCTCGTAAGATTTACGGTGGTGGATTATTGTTTGCTTACAGCTTGGCTGCCAGCTGCAGTAGTCTGTCCGCTTTGCTGTTGCTGGCCCCAATACTGGTTGTTGTAATACTGTTGATTCCAGTTGCTCCAATTACCGTTGCCGTATCCCTGCTGATTGCCGTATCCCTGGCTGTACGTGCTCTGACCGTATCCCTTCCAGCCGCCTCCCCAACTTTGCTGCTGACCCCAACCGCCTTGTTGCTGGCTCCAGCTTCCTTGAGACTGGCTGCTACCCGACCAATTGTCCTGTTGACTCCAATTGGACGATCCTTGCGATCCTTGATAGTTGCTGCTGGAATCGAATACAAACGTATCTTGAGAATAGTTTATTAATTTAATTCTTGAGGTGCCCGTTTTACTCACTGCAATCACTTTAAATTGTGAGAAGAAATCTAAATGTTTTTCTGTATTTTATCATTACAGGCTAAATTATTTTTTCATCGTATCGCGTTCGATCATAACTTAACTGCAGCAAAGCATAAGTACAGATTCTAACTGCCGATTACCTCATGGGACCCCAGCTCCCTTGTCTGGACACTGCAGATCGGTTTCTGTCATTTCCTTGTCTTCGGTCAACGTTTCCTTGTCTTCTGTCCGGTCCTCGTATCATCGCGGGTCCTCCTCGTCCTCCGCGTGCCCTCCACGGGGCGGGAGGTCCGTAGCCACCAGAGTGTCTCATATATCCACCTCTTTGCGGCCTCTCACCTCTCCAGCCTCCCATGTTGGGGCCGCGCCAAGGAGAGTTGCGACCTCTGTCTTGATCTTAAACGTGAAGCATAGAGTTAATATGTATAATTTATAATCGAAAATAAGAATACTTACAATTATTTCTTCGATTATCACGACTGTTTCGTGAGTCACGCGTTTCCCTGTTGCTCTCCGTCTTCTCGAGACGCGGTCGTTTCGCCGTCGGCTGTTGACTAAATCCAGCTTCTTTACCTTCTTTATTATATTTCTCAATGAGCTTTTTGCCTTCCGCCTCATTGAGTCCGATCCATTTCACTGCGTTGAAAGACTCTCCCACCGAAGGCGCAGTGAAATTTGCTACATTTAAAATATTTAAATTAAACATTTTTAACAAGACCGGTTATTCACATTTTTTATTTATATACGTCATCGATAGATACCTTTCATTTCCATAATATTGGACTCTGAGGCACTTCCTTCGATTGCACCGTGCGTGGACAGACGTTGCTTGTACTCTTCGTCCGTTGGTATGACAACGACAGCTTTCCGCTGATATCCACAGAAATTCCGCATCTTACGCCTTTGCGCGGAAGAATACACATTGCTCTTCTAAACAAATACAAAATCCCGTTACAAATGCGATATCCTTGACATACATCGAAATATGCATTATATATTCGTATATTCCTTCGTACCCCGTCCAAGATGTAATTACGTCTTCTGACACTCGCCACGTCAATCAGTTGGTCGAGCGCCCGGTTACATTTGTCAATAATAACTTCTCGTCTAGATGAATTTTGTTCTTTATCCGATAAAGCAACGTCCTGGAAAGAAAGCGTGGTATTGAGATTTGAGAAGTCTTGCACAACAGCGTTACAAACTTTGTTTTATCGAATTTTATTACATACCCCTGTCTTTTCAACTAAATTGTGGAGTGCTAAAATGTTGTAAGATTTGTCAGGGTGTTCGGCTACATGTTTTCTAACCCAAGTGGTTTTTCCCGCCGCGGGTAGACCGCATATCATTATAACTTCGCAATCCGCTTTATTTTCCGGTCTGCGCGGACCAGCGATTCTATCTTTCGATTCGATTTGACCCACCAATGTGTACTCCGGAATGCGTTCGTACCACGCCTTCTCTTGTCCGAAATTGCACACAAATGTACAGTTTTTGCTAAGAATATGCGGGAACAATGGTCTATCGCCAAGCTCCTCCTTAGGGATACTGAACGCGGATCCAAGATCTTTGCCGTTTACGGTGTATGACAATTCTACCGTATTCTCGGGCGTCATGTCGAGGTAGCATCCCACGACGTCATCCTTGCCGAACTGCGAACCGTAATCCGTAAACTTCTTATCGGTTCCCTTCTGTCCGGTGCTCGTATACGTGTAGCTCAGAGTCTCCTCACCAAGTTGCATAGACGTGTGAGGAACCGACCAACCGACTCTGAGAATATGCGAACATTTCTCGTCTTTTGCGACGTTAGAATGTTGCTCTGTGATTTTGGCTTCGTAGTAGACTTTTCCGTTTATAAAGCCGTAAGATGCTCGGGCACCAGCCCATAGATGACAGAAATCATTGTCGTGCATAGGCATAGCAGAGAGAAATCCTTGCTTATTAATAATCAAATTCAAGTCGGAGTCATCTGAAAGACAAAAAATATATTCGGTAATATGAAAATATATTCAAACGAAAATTATTGCTACAGTCTCAAAAATACACGAAATTTATAAGAACTTACACCATGATAAAATCACTGCAGATTCGTCAAAATCTGGCTCGTTCTCCGCTTTGTCTTGTGCAAGAGACACCTGATGCACTTCTACCGGGCTAGAAGATCTTTTTCTTTTCCTGTCATTGTATTCCTTTTGACTTGATTCTTCCGCATCTAACTTGACATCTTTTTTTACTTCAGTCATTTCTACCTCCTTTTCCATGCAAACAAAAATAGATTAATAATTAAAACACCAACTCTTATAAAAGCTACAGGATAATTCTGTTATACTGATACTGTATCAAATTATAATTGGATTATAATTGTATTATAATTATATAAATTATATACCTGTTCATCTTGTGGAATATCAGGTTTCTCATCTACATCTTCCATTGAAACATTTATTTGTTCATTTTGCACTGCATAATCCTTATCAATATTCTTTTCTTCATTTTTTAATTCAATATCACATGTTTTATCTACTTGACGAGATATCGCATGTGTTGGTTGTTCAGCTTCAGGAATGTCTATATTATGTTTAACATTATATGTATCCTCTATGTATTTAACATTTTCTTTCTCAACTGAAATTTTCTCTTCAATATTCTTTTCAAAAGTACTTTGTACTATGTTGACATCTTTAATCTCTGTCTTTTCTTTCAGTTTTGTAAGATCTTGTATTTCTCCTATAGGATGCTGATCTACATCAACTTCGCGTACATTAGATCCTTTTGTTTCATGCTCTCCTGGAGTTATAGAAAATTGATCTACATATGCAATTGTACTAGATTTCTCAGACGGTTGTGTCGCAGGTACTTGGGGAACATTTGCTTCGTATTTATCTTCTAAAGTATTAATGTATTTTGCTTGTCCCTGCTGAGATTCTGCTAATGGTGATGAATAAATCTTGTTTTGAACAATATTTGATGCATAGTCTTCTTGCTCTTCTCTGTATTTTTCAGGGGACTTTAATATTTTTGCTTGTTGTACTACAGGTTCGTCATAGGTAGACTCTGATATTGTCGCTATCTCATATGCTTTGTCAACATATTGAAGTTTGCTCGAAGTGAATTGCTTTGATGAATTTGGAGTTGTAACCGTCCTTGATGCATTTCTTGTAGAAATTTTTATCGGAGATACCACAGAGCTTGTAGAGCTCGAGGAGCTTCTGGACGCCCTACTAGGCGTTCTCGGTGACTGTGAAGATCGTGTAGCCTCTCTTTCTTGTGTTTCTTTCAACGTTGTGTCATCTATATTTTCTGCATGCACAACTGATGACTCTTGATCTGTAAGAAATATAATACAATATAAAAATTATCATTTTATATTGCAGATTTTTGCCAGAAGACAAAAATAAACATAAGATGAATTTTAATTTTGCAAATAAACAATTAAAAAATCAACATTATGTTAAATTATATCTAAATAATAGTATTTTAGCACAATTTCTAAGTTATCCAAGTTGTGCTCACTGTCAGTTATATTTTATAACATCGACGTAGCAGTGCAAATAATAATGGTCATATCATAGGAAAGTCTTTACGGGACCCGCCAAATAGTTAACATGGTTTGTACCGGTTTGTCAGGGGGGGAATGAGGAGAGGGGGAAGAATAGGTAGGGTGAGACGCGTAATCAAAATAGAAGCAAGGCAAGGGAGACACTTGTTAGCGGTGTATGACAGGCACGCAACTTACACTCTTGCTCATTCTCCTCCTCCAGCGCCTTGCGTAGCCGCTCGACGAGCACTGGCTTGTTGCCCTTGGAATCGAGTCCGCGTTTAGACAACTCTGCACGCAACTCCACCACTTTCAGTTTAGCCGGATCCATCGTGTACGCGCACGAATATTATCCCGTTGTATCACCAGATCGAGAGACAGATTCATGCACCCCTGTCGTTCGCCACGAAAGAGAAGATCACACGGAAAGACCCATATACACGCGCCACTGACCCGCGCTGCATACACAATATGGCGTTGCAACGGGCAAACAGCTCGTTACGTAGCGCGCATTGCGACGATTGGTCAGTAACGGGATCGTTCACGAACGACGCCGTTCTCGTGACCAATTACACTCATCGTCTTATTCATGAAGCGGCACCGCGCGTTCTATGATTTGTTCACGCTAAGGCGGGACGTGCTGCTATAGGCTGAAAAAACGCGCCACTTGTGCAAATTTAAAAGAAGTGCACATATTAAGTGCATAACATTAATTGCTTCCTTTTCGCTCGTCCATATTTTATCAAGTATCAAAATTGCTAAATTATCGAAATTTTACGATAATTTTACGAAGTTTTTCAAACCGTGTTATAATTTAAAGCAAGAAAACCTTTAACAAAAGAGGGAAAGAAAGGGAAACATGTATATGTTGTAAAAAAATAGATTAGGTGTCTTGTAAAACTGTAAGCCACATCTATATCTTACATTTAACGCTGTAATGGTTTACTATTGAATTCTAAGACCGTTTATTGAAGAGATGAAGTCGTTCTGTTCAAACTGCAATTTACGTATGTCATATAGCAGTATTAAGATATACAATCACAATCCACTAGTATGTACAAAATACTTTACATTTGATATGAGATTAATTTGACAAAACATACTAACAAATATAAATATTTTTTTCAGATATGGAATGATAAAGAGAAGAAGATGCAATGGATTCTCTTTCTTCTAACTTTTCCTTTGACAATGCATCAAATTTTGATGTTTATTTGATGAAGACAGTGACCACTATAAAAGAGAAACCACCGAATATAGTGGCAATATAGTAGCAAAATAATGGAGCAAACTTAATAACTGTGAGCAGGTACATTTTTCTATGTTTTATATAAAAATAATAGTACAAAAAGATATTGGTTGTACAAATATTAACTTAAATCTTGTTTGCTGTATCTTCAATCACATACATCTGTAAGTTTAAACAATCTGTTTTAATATCTTTCAGTGGCAGTAGACTTTTATTCATCATCTCTTCTGCACTATCTTCAATAATCCATGGGAAGTCTTCACATTTTGGATTCTCGCTCAGAATTATATATGCAGTTTCGTATGTTTGAATTTCAATAGAGAAGCTTGAACCATCCGGCAAGGGTTTCAAGTATGTGTCACATATTGACAACTTTAAGCAGATTGTCTTCAGTGCCTCTTCTGTTTTTAAATAATATGGATCTTTCCTTAAAACAAAATTACAGAGATTAATGAAGGATTGAAACTCAAGATCACGTTTATCAACTGCATCTACGTACTCCGCAAGTCCAGCCTGCAGTTTAACCATGTCAAAGACGAACTTTTCTACTGGCAACCTGCTTTCATTATAAAAGGTAAGAGTAATGGCTTTAACACTGTTTTCATCTTCCTTTATCAATTCTCTGATTGCGTTCAGAATGTTCATCAAGTATTCGTTCAAATCAGGATGTTCTGACACATATACTGTAATTCCATATATCTTCTTCTTAAGGAAAATTTCCTTAGGATATATTTTGCGAAAATACAGTATATGGTTAAACGCAACTTCTAAGAACTCCAATAGTATGTCAATGCCAACTGAAAATTAGATTCTTTATTTCATCTGACACAAAAATATATTTGATTAATCGCAAAGATGTACCTATTTTATCCTGAGACATTTTACGATAATATTAATTGTATATTTGCTACATTTTTAAGAAATTTTACAAATAATAAATGCTGTGTGTTCCATGTGACAAACAGTAAAGTTGAGCAACTACTATAATCTAGCAATCGCGCCATCTGTGTCCATAAATATACATTTACTTATCACAAAATTTTTACTGTGTTGATAAGTAAAAAGTATGAAAATTTTATTACTAAAATCATATTTTATTTGATCGGAAAACGTATATACATTTATAGAAAATATATTATACAATTTCAATTGTTTATATTTTGCAATCTTAACGTCAATACTAACATACTGACCAAACAAACTGACTAGCCAAACTTATAATTGGCATAAACCTCGCGAAATATATCACGGCATTTAATTTTGGCTCTAAGCTTTGCACATAGCAGAAATATTCCTGATAATTTTCTATGCAAGCTATAAATCTCCTCGGGTGGCGGACACAATCTGTGATTTATTATAGTCGGCACTAATGTTTGAATCCTGCAATGTACAATTATTACTTAAATTAATATCAAATGCAAATTAAGATACGAATTAAAATAAGGAATAGGAAAGACAATAAATCAAAGACATACCGTCTTGTCACGTCTTGGCCACCAAAATCATAATACTCGCTCTTATTATCAAAAACTTGTCCAAGAATCATGACTGCATCTACATGAGCAACTTCCATAACCTGATAAAGATTACTGTTTGATTAAAACTGTATCTAATTAAAAATATTAAAAATTGTTCCTTTTCAGCCCTGAGATTTCATTCATTAACTTTTAATTCACATTATGCTCTTGCTATAAAGTATGCAGATTTGTATAGCACATACGGATTTCTGATATTTGTCAATTTTCCATATTTGATAACTGTGAACTAAGCATCGGTACACTCATGTGTAGCAAATAAGATACATAAATGATATGGAGAATTTTATATTCGTGGAAAAAAGTACAGGTATGGAAAGGTTAACAAAGATAAGATACCTTGGATTCGTATCCAGTAAGAAACTTCATTTCTTGAGATAGCTGTAGGACTTTATCGCGATTTCTTTCGCTTGCAGCTTTGATAACTTCTATATACTTGTCCATAAACGCTTTCTCGTAAGTCCTGCATGCTCCAAAATCCAACAAAACCAGCTGCAAAAATGTTTACATTAGTGCTTTCGATTAGAATTGCAAGTGTACAATTCCAAGTATAATGCGTGCACAAAACCTGTTTTGTATCAGAATTGTACAAGAAATTGGACCAATTTGGATCAGTTTGCATATATTGAAATTCAAATAATTCCATTAGAGTCAGACGCATAACCAATTCACTTATACGTTCTCTAGTCGCAACATCCATATCCACGCATTTATCAACAGATACACCTTCTACCATTTCTGTTGTAAACACTTGCTTTGTCGAAAGTTCATCTAAAGATATAATTGATAATTAATACTTTCAATTTATATCTCATTTTTTTTTATTTAATACCTATTACTGAAGGCACGTAATAATCGGGATAAGGCACCATTAACTCTCTGTATTTTCTTGTGCATTCTGCTTCCCTGATATAATCCACTTCCCAGGCGAGTTCTCGGTTTGCAACTTCCACCACATTATCTATAAACATGCCCTCTGGAAACATGTTCCATATCTGCAACACAATATTTTTAATTGTTACAAAATAAAATAAAGGCAAATAAGAGTGTAATAGAAATAAATCTTTTTTTTTGTTTATGTGTTTCCTATTGCACTAAATTCTCCCTATTTGCCTTTATTATATCAAACAATTGCATATCAAAAAATTAATTCTCAGCAATATTTGTATGTTTTTACAATATTACTTTATTTGGATACTCTTATTTCTTACCTTCATTATGCCCACCAAATTCTCAATATCACTCTGAATACCCTGAGCCACACCCGGATATTGAATCTTTATCGCTACATCTTGTTTATTCAATAACGTGCCATGATGTACCTGCCCTAGAATATGACACAATTAGAACTTTTAAAGAACTAAAGAACTCTTAATCGGAATTGTGAAAGCGTAAAACACATTAATGTACCAATAGATGCTGCAGCAAATGGTTTCTCTTCGAAGGATATTAATTTGCTTCTCCAATCGTCTCCAAGTTCACTAACCAATACTTTCTAGAAAGAAAAATTGCAAACATTAATGATAAATTCCTCTCTGATTACATGTATATCATTTACCTCCACTTGCCATGTTGGCATAAAATCAGCACTTTGTCTAACTCTCTCAAAGACTTTTTGCAACTCGGGACTTACAAGGGTATTGTCTTGAATGCTCAATATTTGACCAATCTTTAAAGCTGCGCCTATATTTTCAGAAACATTACTATGTAATTGCTTTGACTAAAAAGTACCACCAGTTGTTTTCTTATTAAACCATAGATTATATGTATGAATATAGTACAAGTTATATAGAGATCTCACCTCTCACTTTGCACAATGTTGAAACTATTCTTTCTGCATTGGCCTTAGTCAAGAACATGTTATCAATTGTATCTCCAATGCTTTGTGTTTTCAATCCTAATGTCCTTCGTGTATATTCCGCAAGAGTACCAGCACCAAGGCCAATTCCCAGGCTTCCAAAGCTTACCATTCTTTGTAATCTTGTAGCAGGGACTTTCCTTTCTCTGGCAGTAGGTGATAACTATATAGTAATATTAAAGTATAATGCATAAATTACTGAATAAAAACCAAATATAAGATATAGTTAGAACTTATTTTAATACATACAGATTGCTTTGGTCTGATGGATAATTTAGCTTTTGGCTTTTCCTTAGGCTCTGTTTCAACAGGTTTCTTTTCGTGTGTTTCAGTGGTAGAGGAAAATGAGCTCTCAGTTTTATTTTTAATATTCTTCTCGTGTTCCAATTCCAATTTCCTTAGGATTTCTTTATCTTTATCGGAAAGCTCTATGTTGGGGATCTGAGTCGTATCTGATTTAGCAATTGTCTGTATTTTTTGCTTTACAGTCATATGTTTCCAGGCTGCATCACTCTGTACATGTTCTGTAAGTTCACTGACTACAGATTTGCTAGTATTGTCTTTTGGTGTTTTGACATCTTGATAAATAGGCGTTTCTCTTGGGTCTTTAGCAGCATTGTGCACGTGTAATTTTGTTTCCTTCTTAGGAACATAGTCATCGTTTTTCACATTTAAAGTTTGGTTAGTTATTATTTTAATATATTGACTAATACCTTCTTCAACTACACGAACACGTTCAGTTGCTTCTTTTAAATCTTTGACTATTTGTTCCTATAAAACCAAACTATTGTAAAAAGCGTTATGTAAGATCATGATATATCACTTCAATTTTCGTCACAAGACTTACAGGAATCTTACTTGGTTCTACATTATTCAACTTCTTTCCTGCAGCTTGTAAACACTGTTGGGGTAGATGTTTCAAACTAGAGTGTGTGATTGTATATTTGATTGCATCCTCTTGATGTTTTATCAGAGCATTCGTCACACTTTGCACTCCCTTAAGTATGCCAATTAAATCGGAGATTCTAGATGAAGACATTTCTGAAAAGCATAGCCTATTTTACTGTGAAAAAAATAATTAACCACTGAAGATGACAGCTTAGAAGTTCAAGAGTGGTTCCACAGGTTAGAAAATCTGTCACATGTTCTATAGAAGGAAAATAACGATATGAGCATGCGCCACGTTAGGAATAGTGCGCGAAAGTTAAAATTAGTATCTAATTATAATTATATAATTATATTAAATTACATATTAAGCAGTATAAAAATATAAGAATATAATTTGAGTCGTTGGTGCAGAACAAAGACAAAAAAAATTTTTAAAAAGACATTAAATATTTAACAGAAAAATAAATTTTAGCCATATATATTTATCGCAATTTTTACAAAATTGTCATATGAATTAAAATTTATATTTGTTATATTATTAAGAAAAAACTGTTACGTTCTGCAAAAAATAGCTTTCGTGATAAGTAATATATAGGGAATAAAAATAGGACATTCTTCTATTTCGATTCTCAAGTCAATCACGTACAGTTAGGGTCAATAGAAAAAAGGTAAAGGTCTTGCCGATCCAGTTTGCCGTGTTAGATTTGCTCGCAAATGAATCTAGCTCTTGAAGAGACGACGTGTCTATAGTGCATAGTAAATGGCCAAGCCTACGCCCATCTTACATGGAATTATATCCCGTTATATTATTTATACCGCGGTTATGCATTTTGCCCACACGCGTGAGCAATACTGCCCACGATACCGCTCAAAAGTAGCTTTTTTTTTTTAATATTAAATTTATCACGCGCGCTGATATCGGTCGTATCTTCTAAAATTGTTTAAACTTCCTAGTCACAAAAAGTTATAAAATTGCGATATAAAATAAAATTGAAATTCTCTTTTATTAATGTCAATTAATCTTACATACGTTGAAGTCATATTTCAAAAATGGCAAATCTCCGTGGAGTTGATTTTTGCTTGGCCAACACTTGCCAGAACAAGCTAATTATTTGTCATGACAGCTGAACCTTTTTCTCGCAGCGTAGAAAGCTGTGCTTAATTGAAGAAAAAAAATTTATAATCAATCATCACGATTTGATGTGAGAACCGTGAAGCAGTCTGCATCTGTAGGTCACGTTGCATCCGATTGCAGGGCGACACCTTGTCCCATTTAATGACGATGTCGCTCCGACAACTTTTTAAGGCTGTCTAATTAATCGCCCACGGCAAAGCATGACATATCGGTCATTCTCCTCACGGATTCCGTAACCGGCGGTTGCACGATGACATTTATTTTTTTACGGTGCGTGTGAAATTTATGAATTTGATGGCTTTACTCCTACTTCCTCAATTATAAAAGTATGTCGACAGATTCTCATCTACACACTTATATGTATTACATTTTTATAATACATCTTGCTCGTTAAATATCGTCTAATATATCTGCTATGCAACAACGTTGCAGTCATCGCGAGATAATGTGATAGCATAATAAATGTAAATCGGAGGTGGATAGTTGATCTGACGCGTAATTTGTGCCACAAGATATAACTTTCGCTTAAAACCTGTAATATAATGTAACGCAACATTACACTCATAATCAGTGTTCAAGCAAGATCAAGTCGATAATTTATTTCATACACTCAACGTCACGAATGTCCAATTTCTCTCGATGGACAGATTTGTTTAGAACGAACGTGTAATTTCTAAATAAATTATCCGTAATTTGACAAATCAACGATACATCTAAAGATCGTTTTCTCCTTTTCGCTTCGTATTTTTTCTATTCACACGTCAATAATTTAGTGGAATTTTCTGATTGAATGCCGCACATTTCCGAATGGTACATTTCATTAACTCGGTACTTGAGTAGGGCGCGCCTATTAACAAATTAGAGTAGATTATTACCGTGACACGTTTTCCGGTAGGCATTTTTTTCCCGCGGAAGAACCTACGTAATAAGCAACCGCGATCTCGTGCACTGTCCAGAAAGCTATCGCGATACAAAACCGCGCTCGCACGGGTATTATACGTATTATGTACGTTTCCAATTTCTAACCATCCGCTTCTCTCACGAGATTACGGCTTTGTTTTACGTAAGATCCTACGACCGCGACAGTAGATATCACGCGTGTGTATAAATTAATCTTTTGTTACACACAGTATAATTGCAGGACAAAGGCACGATTTCTGTATCACGCAGATAAAAATGAAGAAGAGATGTTTTTAGAGATAGATTTTAGATTCCACTAGCATCCCTTTCTGTAATTACCATTGCTTTCCATTTTTTTACACCTTTCAAGCCACCACCAAGCAAAGTGATCTTTTCATTGCTGTCTCTGATTACAAACGCAAATGATTATTACAGCTATTTGCCATTTGATTGTAGCTTTGCTTTTGATCTTCCGTATTTTTCTTATATATTATTTTTTATATAATTAAAAAAAAATTTTTAAGATTAAAAAATACTGAAAAAGTAGATTGGTTATTTTTGTAAGTCAATGAAGAGATTTTTGCTTTGATAAACGAAAATATATGAAGTCTATCGATTTACCTGGATAATTTTGTTTCTCTATGGCGATTAGTGTTGGACGTCGATAATTATCATTTCTTTCGTTTTACTTCCCTGTTCCCGACATTGCACAAGCATCCGGAAGCGGCGATGTTCTTGCCGCTTGATACATGGTTACATGTATCCGCTCAACCTAGGTCAAGCGTGAATCTAACCCACTGGTATTACCGTCGGATCCTTAGAGATCGTCTGGATTTTACTTTTCAGTCTTGACAGAAAACGTCACGTCTCTCTTCGGAATGCGACGCGATAACGATTTAATCTATACTTCCGTATACAGCGATTCATCATTAGTGTCTTGTCGAGATTGCACTACCGCTGCAAAATATATTTCATTACGTATAACCGTGCACGCTACCGTGTCAAGTCCGACTGCTTCTAGACCAAGAATACCGTGAGATTTCAGACTTTAGAACAAGTTTCATTCGAACTTAATGAGACAACCAAAAAAGTATAGAGTGTATTTCAACATATTGAACACAATGTTTACGCAAGGTTTGATGAATTATAGCTACTTCCGACCGCGATGATAAATTTGATTAACATTGAAATCTTATTAAACGCAAAAAGCTGACAAACACGTTGGTTATGTGCTGCGATAATTATTATGGAACCAGGTCTTATCTCTCATTACCATATTCTTCATGGCTCTTCCTTATTCCGTATTATACTTATTTGCATAAACGCCCAGAAGCGATGTCGTTTTTTACAAAGTAATACAAGTCATTTAATTTATCTTAGGGCAATCGCAAACTTAATTTTCTGAGGCATTTAAAATTTATCTCTTTTGGCGCAACAATGTGGAGGGAGGGAGAAACAAAAAGTTTGAAGTTAAAAAAAGTTCTGAATTTTTAGGTCATGGAATTTGCCCAACATTCGGTTCCGAATTATGCTATCGGTATAATGCTACCATAAAATCTAAAACCTGTTTTGCCCGTTTGAAGATCTGTATTGTTGGGTATCTAATTTTTGACATTAGGAACATAAAGACTCTATCTGCGAGCGATAAAAAAATATCGAAACTTTCGTATAACTGTATATTTTAAATCATGACAAATTTATTGTAAATAGAATATGGAATCTATACGCCCTTACATTCATTTTTTTTGGACTATTTTAATAATTGAACAGTAAATTTGTCTTATGACGACATTTTTTGAAGAGGCATACTTTTGCGTTTTTCTGATTAATTCCGTCATCATGTAGTTTATATTTAAAAAAATGATCAACCGCAAGATATACCGTCTTACATTAGAAGAACTGTGATTTAAACGAGATAATATTTTTCATTTTGCGCATTCCTCACGAACTCAATTTCACAATGTTCTTCATTGACGGTCGCGCGATTACAGGCTATGAAAATCACATTTCTTGTCAGTTCTGTCTGCAGCGGTACTTGATTACCTCTCATTTTAAGAATCCCCTTTAGAGTCCGTAGCTAGCTGACCTAGTGAGATTATCAGCATACAGAAAAGAAAACTTTTGTGACTTATGTATTTGTTGCAGTACGTGGAATAATTAGCAAATTGCATTCATTTTAATATTCACAATAATCAAATTCGACGTATTAATTGTTGCGATTAGCTTGTCATATAATTTGATTACATTGCTATTAGAATATAAATAGAATCTCTCAGAATTATTTATTATTTTGAAATTAATTTTTTTTTAATTTTGCATTTGTATATCATCGAATAATTTAATATCACGTTTTAAACTTTGCGCAGAGAAATACGATATTAAACTTTATTATTGGTATTATCTTTACGTTTTCAGAAGAAAAAATTATCGAAACCTTTGATAGTTTGAGAAAACCGTTCATTTCCGTTCCACATAACGAGAAATTATGATACGTTGCGTGTCACGTTACGCCCAACATCGGCTTGTTAGTTCTCATCGAAATTGTTTTTATCTCTCGTTAAAAACTGCGGTGTCATTATGTATTCATCTAAATTACGCCAATTAACCATTGCTGAAGCAAATTGCGCTTTTTTGCAACGGAACAATCGGCAGATTCCACGGTTGCGTTCTACATTTTCTAAGATCAGGCTCGAATTTAAAGACAAGTATCGGCACGTTTGCAAGATAAAGGTTTCTACGCGCTAAATTTGCACTTTATGTTCCCCTCGCCATCGACAATAACCGCGTGAAGCGACAATAATTCTATAAAACCGGTCGGGGACTCAAACATTACGAGCTGCGACGGAAATGCATAAAGCCAACAATGAAAAAAACGCACCGTGCTCGCGCAAAAAAGTCGAGACTCGCGCGTTCAACAAAGGCAATCAAACCTGACCCAGTGAGGCGGTCCCCTGGGGATCGGTTCCCCCAGTTTCCGAGTGTTCGAGAAGTCGACGACTCACGGTGCATCGATGCGCCGTAGGTCGCGACTTGACCCACAGTCTGAAACTATGGAGCACAGTCTCTTTCTCGCCTTGGACCGATCGCGGCGGAGTCTTGGCGCGCCGCGGCACACCACACCACGCCGGTCGCCGAGGAAGAAGACGGGATCTCGTCGGAGAGGCAACCGAGAGAGACGATGTACACACGTGCACCTCGGGGCATTCACGGGTTGGCAGTCGGCTCTTGAAAGCCGCACAGTGAATGCCTCTCGCACGGCTCTCATACGCGCGTTTTTGCGAACTTCTTAGTGCACTTAAGGGATTCGTGCCTGGCGGCCGTGCGGTGGAATTTCGCGCCAAGGGAGATTGATCGAAGGGGAACCCTCTCACGCGCGCGAGAAGTGCCAATATTTTTAATCAGTGACTCTCACGGTGATCGTGTAACGCGCAGTGTCGAATGTTCGCGCGAGACAGTGAGACAAGAGGGAAAGAAAAAAAAAAAAATATGGAGACAGTGCTACACATGAATTTTTAATAATTATTGATCGCTTGATGTAAAAGCATCTGCTTCGTATTTTGCATCGCATTGTGGCGCGGCGCGGTATGCTGGGTGGTGATGAAGTTGACGCCGTGGATGGGATAAATGACTTCTACTGAATATATCAGAGAGAAAGAGAGAGAGAGAGAGAAAGAGGGAGGAGGGAGAGATTGTATGCGCTTGGAGCATTTAACATTGTTCTTTGTTTCCATTTCTCTTATGTAAGAGCGCTGTTAAATATTATAATTTTGTAGTCATTGTTATGCGTATTCCTAAAACACATAAATGTGTAAGTAAAGTTCCTTGTGATTATTGAAATTTTTTAAAAGAGGATATTTTATATAATGTCAAACGCGTCAATGAATTAACACCAAAGTAAATAGTTTTATACGCAAATGTGCATTAATTTTACCGCGCCTGCCAATAACTGCCGTATCGAATCAAGTTGTATAGATGTTGTTTAACTTCAATAGAGAATACTTACTCTATGCAAGAAAAATATACGTAGAACTATTATGTGTATGCAGTGTTATATTAATTGGAGAAAAATCTAAAGCACTCGAGCATTCGGGTAAAGTAGCGTAATAATGGTTACGAGTTTTTCACGTATCGATGGATTACTAGGTTTTCCGACAACGATTTCCCGATAGCGTGCTTTCTTAGCAATTCTGACCTGATTTATTAACGCCGCAAATACCGTAACGTGTACAATTACAACAATCTGATGCATAAAGTAAATAAAAATCTAAATTTTAATTGTGCTCTACAACGCTAATGAATTTTTTTTCTCAGACTCTATCTCTAATATGTAAAATTATAATATCGTGATCAATTATCAGTCGATTAAAGTTTTTTTTTCTAATTCGTGAATCGAGTTTGTATGTTTTAAAAATTGCACGACAGCTCACAACTTGATTTACGCTCGAATAATGGAGGGAAGATAAATCACTGCCGCATTTAACATCTATGACAGTCATTCGGAATAATCACGAGGCTCCGTTACGTTGACAAAAAAATGATTGTTATCATTTGATAGGGAGGACGAGCGTGGTAAGGATACACTCAAAAAAATATTTTGCTGATGTAGTTAGATTTCTAGATATCGCAACAAGAATGTATCGCTATTTTTCGTATCTGTGAAAACATTGTTTGTCACATATAAAATTTATAGCAGTAATGTTCTAGCAATAACTTCTGAAAAATTTAGGTACCATTGCTAAATGTTATTCATTGCATGATCTAACATGTGATTGATCTTATATAGATAGGCGCTTTAGAGAAACTTTCTTTTTAAAGTTCACAAACAATACAGATATATATTCTGTTTCTGTCATCTAAACTGATTAAGTAATTACATATGCAATATCACAACAGTTGCTAATCATTTATCTGTTTTAGTTAATTTTTTACACCTAGAAAATTTTAGCTATTATTGCAAGATCATTTTTTTGAGTGTACGCGAAATATTTAGAAAAAGCCGCATTTTCTCCGTTAGAGCAAACGGCCGTCATGCGTGGTGAACGAGTGTGGGAATTTTCTGAGGCATCAGTGACAGTGACGCTAATGACATTCACAATCTGAAGAAAAACTACTTGTACTCGACATTACGCGTGGTCACGTAAATGATCCGGTAATTGTGGGAAAGCGTAACTACATATTACGGATTAAATAGAAGACATAAACTCGATAATGAAAATAAACGGGCTAGACACCTAAACGAAAGTAACGTATAACTTGTAGATAATAATAAGAACATTATTAAACGATACCTTTCTACGGCACTATCGCGAGAAAGTATAAATAAATAATAATACAGTTGATAGCAGAATACTTTCAGTCTCAACTGAAAAATTTGGGATAAGTTGACAATTGCAAAAAATAAGACAAAAATATAAAACTTTCGATGAAGTCGAGAAAAAGATTAAATGCGAAAGTAGAAGAGAAATTGGCAGCTGTACTGTTTGTAAAACAAATATTCAGTTTTATAGATCGATTTTTATTACAGCGGAGAAAATGTCATTAATACACACTGATTTTACGTGACTTTCTATTCACAATAACTCATGTTGTCGAATTTATTATATATATATATTATATGTTGTAAGAAGAAATATTTTATGATAATGCTTTCTTTTAGTAGCAAAAATATCAAACGACCTGAACGGAAAGCAGATTATCCTTGCATAAAACATTTCCACGTAAATATCGTGAAAATAATTTCCCAATACAAAATTTAAAAAATGGTCGCGTCATTAAAGTGTTTTAATCTCTTCACCATTTGAGTAGCGTGCAGCGTGCGTTCATTCTATAAAATCATTTTCGAGTCGTTGCCTCGACCCATAATTACGCAAGTGTAAACACAAACACATAGGCAATGTAATGCGTTCGCTGCGATATGCGAACAATGCACATTTGCGATTTAACATAATAATTGTTTATAACGAGTAAATAATTGAAACGGGAGATTAAATTAAACATTATCTTCAAAGAGAAAGAATCGAAATGAAAAGTAAGATGCAATGTACGATCTATTTTAGAAATTGAACTTTGCAAGGATCTGCCTCCACGGCTTTATATCCGTTCGAGAAAGAGGATATAAGCTATTACTTAAGCTGTTGCACGATTCTGAGTGAAGGTCGAGGTCATGGCATGCAAGCATCATGCAATCCAGAATCTCACGGCCTTCATGATCGGTCATACGATTGAGTGCATTCCTTGTGGTACACGTAACGCAGAAAAAGTTTTTCATGAGAAAACTACGTCATACGAACTCCTAATTACGCATTCAGCAATCAAACGTGCGGAATAAATTGAAGAACTCCATGTGAAATCGATTTGTGTAGAGGATGGACGTAATATAAACATCGCGCAAAAAGTATGAAAAGGATAATGCCGTCAAGCGACATTTTTTCCTTAAAAATTTACTTTTAACTGGTCAGTGTGTTGTGTATATGTGATACAAAGGAAAATCCAACGATACATCACAATGGGAAACACGCGGTCGCAACCTTGCAGAAGAAGTAAACCGCCCTATCTGTTCTACCTGATTCACCGAACGTGGAATGTCGTGATAGATCATCGAAAAGATCGGGATCGATGCGACGATACCGACAAAGAAACGGATCTTTCATCAAAATGCAGCACTTGCAACGTTTGCGCTTACCGACAGGACAGCTTAATCTTCGACAGGTAACGTAGAAATTTTGGTCGGGTAGAAAGGTAACTACTTCACCAGTAGAGACGCGGATCTGGTTTTCGTTGCAGCATAACACCGCTAGATTGCGTCAAATGCTATTTTAAGAATTTAAGAATGAAATACTCGCAAAGATGACAATCGCAGTCATTTGGACTTCTTGTTAGCAATCCAAGGACATGAGCTAATGTACTGTGGTCATCTACATATATGTATTTAAATTTATACGCAAATAATTAGGAACTTTAAAACAAAAGTTGTTTAAAAGTGGGATTATAGTAAAAAAAAAAAACTTTTCAAGAGAAACTGCATTTAATTGCTGAAATGGGCTTGATCTCAACGCCATCCTTTCATTAATAACATTTTTAAATAAAATAATTAAATAATAGATAATAACAAATATAATTTTAAAATTTTAATTGACATTTTTCCGATAATTAGTATCTTACATTTCAAAGTTACATTTCTACAAAAATTTTAATAAAGAATTACAATGTGTATTAATATAATAGTATAAATTATAATAATATTCAAATTTAGTAAAATGCAAAAAATAACAAAAATACATTGACAAAAAAATATTTAAAAATAAAATAGAAATTAAATATTTATAACTATTGTTCCATAAATAATTTAAATAAAATTGACAATTTTTACAAAAAAAATCAATGATTAGTTCATAAAAAATTGACTTTATAAAATTACGAATAGTTTATAAATTTTAATAATTTATAAATTTTATAGAGAGTTTATAAATTTAAAATATATATTATAGTACACAAATTAATTTATAAATATTATTTGTAAATTTTAGATGTAGCTAATTTTATTTTTACAAAACATGTTTATAACTTAATAAACATAAAACGAATAATTGAACGTCAGATATGCAACTTCTCTCGTATATCATAAGTAATTTATATCGTCGAAAGACTATTGTTATTGCTGAATGTGATGTTATTTGAACGCCTTTATTATTTTCCCATTGTTAAACTCTGAAATAATGTAGAATAAATTTATATAAATATTTATAATAATATTATAATAATATTAATAATAATATTAATAAAACTTACCGCCGCTTTTTTTAATTTTGATCAGCTTTCTAACGGCCCAGGTATGTCGTATGCTCCTTGCATACTTGTCAAAATATACGGGTGTGTGTCTTAATATAATCATCTAAATATCTTTTAGTATCAAGAAACTTGTTGCAAGAACAAATACTATACTGCATTCCAAAATTTAGCACTTGTATTTCCATATCCAGGCGAAACTGTATATGGTTATTCTGTTCGTTAATACAATGCGAGTATAAGTGATTTATTAAAAGTTCAAGCTGAAATCAACAAATTACATTACAGATAAGATATTCTGAGTTGCATGAGTTGAAATACTTGAAATATATCCACAACCTTTTTTGTCGTTCGTTTCTTGTCGTTTGTAGTCTTCTTCGTAATTACTTCTTCATGCATTGTTCTGACATGTTTCTGAAATCTGTAGTGTTGCTCTGTTTATATTTATATTCGCAAAATTAGCATTCTGCTTCGTCAATATCATAATATTGCCACTGTCGCTCGTTTGCTGTAAAGAACGCGTTCTAATCAATCAACTGTCTTGCATGCTTCTTCCATATTCTCCAATTTCTCCGCATGTGCAACTGTTATATGATGATACAAAGGCGATGCAATAAAAAGTCTTACGGTTTGGGGACAAATATTACATTTTACTTCAAACTCATTACTTTCTGTGCAATATTTCCATCCCCAACAGTTGTTGGAATACTGCATATTAGTAGAAAAAATGAATAAATGAACCGAGTATAAGTGATTTATTAAAATTTTAGAATCAGATCGACAAATCACATTACAGATAAGACATATTGAGTGAAGTGAATCGTAATACTTGAAATATATCGATGGCCATTTTTGTCGTTCTTCGCCTTTTTCATAATTAAATATTTCTTCATGCTTTTCTCTTATATGCTGATGGAAATTATTAATGCAAGGGTAATGATATTTATTATCGCAAAACCTGCATTGTGCGTAAAAATTTGACAATTTTATATAATATTGCCATATCCGCATCTCAGTGAAAATATATAGTGACGTAGACATTGTGTCTGTTTCAAGTGACAAAATGCGTTCTGCGGAATTAACTGTGTCGCATGTTTCTTGCATATTTTTCAATTTCTTCGCATGTTTACTTTTCGTATGATAAATCAAATATGGTGCAATAGAAGTAGTTTTATCTATGGTACAAATATTACACTTCACTTTAAAGTCATCAATTTGTGTATAATATTTCCGTGCCCAGCTGCGGCAGCAATGCTCATCCTCCTCATTAATAGAATGCATAGAGTGTAAGTGATTTATTAAAAGTTCAAACTGAGACTGACAAATTACATTACAGATAAGACATATTGATTGAAATCGATCGTAATACTTGAAATATATCCACGGCCATTTCTGTACTTTGTCGTTTTCGTAATTATATATTTCTTCATGTTTTTTTCGTATATGACTTTGCAAATTGGAAACCTGGATGTAATTATATACAATATCGCAAAACCTGCATTTTGCATTAAAATTCGGTAATTTTATAAAATATTGCCACAGCTGTTTTTTTATACTAATTAGTGATGTAGACATTGTGTTTGTTTTAAGTGACGTAGACATCATGTTTGTTTCAAATGACGTAGACATCGTGTTCGTTTCAAGTGACGTAGACATCGTGTTCGTTTCAAGTGGCAAAATGCGTTCTAAGGAATTAACTGTGTCGCATGTTTCTTGCATATTTTTCAATTTCTTCACATGTTTACTTTTCATATGATAATTCAAAGTTCGTGCAATAATAATAGTTTCAACTTTGGTACAAATATTACATTTCACTTTAAACTCATCAATTTGTGTATAATATTTCCGTGTCCAGCTGCGGTAGCAATGCTCATCCTTCTCATTAATAGAATGCATAGAGTGTAAGTGATTTATTAAAAGTTCAGACTGAGACTGACAAATTACATTACAGATAAGACATATTGATTGAAATCGATCGTAATACTTGAAATATATCCATGGCCATTTCTGTTCTTTGTCGTTTTCATAATTATATATTTCTTTATGTTTTCTTCGTATATGAATTTGCAAATTGGAAACCGAGATGTAATTATATACATTATCGCAAAACCTGCATTTTGCACTAAAATTTGGTAATTTTATAAAATATTGCCACAGCTGTTTTTTAGTTATACTAATTAGTGATGTAGACATTGTGTTCGTTTCATGTAACAGGATGCGTGTAACTGAATATCACACGATACAATAACCTTTCCGTCGAAAACTGTTTGATATAAGAGAGGGCAAAGAAAAACATATAATTCTTCATTTAAATGTAAATATTGATATCATTCGTGTGGAACCATGCTCGATAAGAAAACTCATATGTATGGAAATTATTATACTAATTTTTGTCGCGCGTGTATCCGAAAGCAAACTATCCGTAGAAACCGTTTTATCTCACTTCAAGCGTTTCACCTACATCGATAATTCTATATTTGCTGCCAATGTATGGCATATTTAATGAAATACCATTTTTAATATTAGAATTTGCAATCGTAAATGTGTCATGCGTATTTTGGATGAAACAAATATTTAATCTTTATGTTTGATTAATATTCATATTTTTATTTCTCTTTTATCTCACATAGTTGATAGGAATTCTTTTCTTTATCATACAAGAATAAAATATAAAAAAATCAATTGCATATGAAAGCATTGTCTACACAAATTTTTTTAATTAAAAATAATTATCATAATATATTAATGAAATTGAATTAAATTATTTATTTGTTAATGGCATTCTCTTTAAATATAATCAACATTCTGTATGCGTAATTTGATAAGTATTGTAAATTAATCCAATTTATTTCATCATTTTATTTGATTATGATAACTTGTTATTCGCATTTGATTGCTTAAATGAGTTTGGTGCATGAGAAAAATGCTTCCAAAATTTTTTTTGCGATTAAATTTTATGTGGATAGACTTTTATAAATGATATTTCAGTATTTAACTTAAGAAATCGATCAGGTAGTAAATTCTGTTTCCTTTATTCGAATGACGTCATTTGTTACTGACAAATTAGTGACAATTGTACTAATATAATTGATTGATTCCACAATTATTGTTAACACACATGCAATATATTATGATCTTGTTTCAATTCATGAATTTAAGAAATTCGCATTTGTGGTGCGTTTTGATTTATCTTTGCGGCCGTTCGCGGAGCAAGTTTTACAAGCCGATGCGTGTTTTCTACTCATTCCATATGCATATAGTAAGAAAACGGTTGATTATCAGCCACGCAATTGCGATGCGTGTTGTCCCTTCCGTCGCGGCGCGCGTGACGTATCGCGGGATAAACTCAGATAAACTCTGCTTACATTACGAGCAGGTGAAGGTGCCTCATCCCGCTGCTTCGTAGTACGGTGTGCCGGTCGTGCCGCGCCGGTGTCAGTAAACCTCCAGCCGTCTCGCGAAGCGGAGCGGAGCAATTTTGAGTGTTGTGATAAATTTTTCGAGAGCATCATGCCGTTTACGTTTCGATAAATTGCGCGATTGGAATAATATCGCGAGCGACAATTCTTTTTTTTTTGTGCAGTTTCAAATACGGGCTCATGCGTTTAAAGCTGGAAACATTCAATTGACTAATTAAGGTAATTGTTTTACATATTTTAATTTACATTGATTTGTAGCACAGTTGTTTGATGAAGGGTGATAAGTTTCAATAGAAAATCATTATATTGCGAGAAAAAATAATCTAGAAATTTTCTCTGAAAAATGTATATTTAGTACGATAGTTTGATTTTATTTAGCTAAATTGTATCCAAACTTTGCAGGCGTTGTTGTTCGAAGATTCTTATTACTTCTATTTAATTCTATTTCGCGATAATATTAACACCGTCATCATAGCGGAAGTAATAATGATAAATGGCGGCGAAAGATTCGATATTAATTACCTTGATGATCGCATAAATCTAGATACAAACATCATTTAAATTATTATTGCTACCTTTCATCGAGAATGCGAGAATCTAATTGGTATTGCGGACTAACGAGCACACTGCACGCGCGCTGACAATTTTATTCAAATTTTTTGCTTGTGAGAAGTCGCGATCTCATTTGGATTTCCTCGATGATTATCGGCGAGAAAATGGCACATTCTTTCCTTTTCGTACGCGCGTGGACGCGCAACTAACGAGACGAATAATTTAATTCCTGTACATACAGAGGTCATGCGCACGGTACGGTAAAACACAGGATGGTAACGAGTAAGAACAAGATTGTTTTCGCGAGCGCGAGTATAAAAACCGCTAGTCATTACTTTCATGTCAATTACCGCAATTACAGATACGCCCGACTCTTTAAATACAAAATCACGCGGCCCATTTTCTCGCCGTATGATTGCACACCGCGATTATTACCACTTTGCCACCTCCGCTTTGAAGCGTAGCGTAAATATGGCAAGCGCGAGACACTATTGTTCTTTACGTTGGAAATCACCAGCGAAATATCCGCCTGTTATGGGAATTCGGAAAGAATGACGAACAATCGTGATTATCATTATTTCACACTCGACCTACACTTTTGATAAGTACGTTGAACGTGTTGCATTTTAAATTGTGGTCTATCATCTGTCAATATTGACGAGTCGATCTTCATTATAGTTGCTGACTGTTGCACAAACTAAGTATATGCAATGATAAAAGAATTGAGGGGCTTGAAGATTTATAAAGTAATATATCTGTCACATTTATAAATCACATCTCAAGAAAAGTTAGATTGATTTAATACAATTGAAAAATTTATTAAATATTATGTACAAGTTCTTTGTGATACAAATGCGTGAAAGAGAGCTACTCTAATAAAATTGATGAGTGGGTAGAATATTTGAGGCGAACAGTCGGTCGGTGCCACGGTCATTTCCATATTAGGACAATCAAATCATGACTCGAAAAACTTTTACGACATCCTACTTCGGTCTCCTTGGTCCCTTCTCTTTCCAATGCGTCTTCACAATGCTTTAGAAGTTGAACAACAATAACACGCATCAAATACCTTTTATTTTTATTGTATAAATTTGAGCGAGATTTGCAAAACTCGGTTAAAAAGAATAAACACATTTATTGCGTTTACGTTATAATATACATAAGTTACATCGATTTTATATACGGAATTTGAACTTAATTTGTTAAGGTTTTAAAACGTAGATATTTGTCCGTTATATTTTCGTTACACAATCGAAGCGCGTAAGTCATTCTCTTTGGCGGTTGCGACTAGTACATTAGTTATTAGTTAGAATCAACTGATAAATTCAGTTTTCAAATAATGATAATCATAATAATGATGATAACGTTCTTCTGCAATTTCCTCGAACGATTTTACGTTCTCACATATACCGGTTTAGC